AAGGTGCTAGATTGCCTGTTACGAAATCTTTTGCTGAATGTCTATCCTCTTTAATGATAAACTTTAGCAATGAGCATGAATGGCTAAAATTCCTATTCTATGGATATAATACCTTCAGAGTGCCTGACAAAAATCACATAAATCCCTTACCCAGCAAATCAAGGATGCTGCTTTGATTAAGACTCCTCATCTTCATGAATACAAAATGTCACAGCCTATCTTAAATAAAAGAAAACACTCACCAATTGAGATGAAGGCCAATCTGATTAAAATGAATAATTTTCCATGGAGAGCGCCAGCAACGCAGTATTTCGGTTTCAAATCGGTTATCGGTCAAATCACGATATTTTTAAAATATTTTTTGAGATAATGATTTGCACGTATTTATAGATAAATTAACCAAAAATAAACATTTTCCAAATAATATTACTACCAAATTTGGTCGATCGAATATTTAGTAAGAAGTCGGTTTTGAGCTCGGCATTCGGTCAAATCATAATATTTTCAAAATATTTTTTAGGATAATGTTTAACACCTAAATATACACGTATAAACCAAAAATGAAGAGATTTTGATCAATAACGCCAGCAATATGTTCCTTACAAACTTTCGTCAAAGAAACCTCTATTTTTTAATTTTTTTTTTAGGTTTTTCACATGTATTTACACCCAAATACAAAAAAAGCGTTATCCAATATTTATTCTGGTTTCCTAAGAATATATTTTCATATTTATGCATTTAACGCTCTCTTATGGATATAAATTTGTTAAATTTTGTAATTGAAAAATAAAATTTAAGTTGTAATAAGCTAGTAAATATATTTTTTTTCCAATAATATTAAGTAAAAATAGAATTTTAAATTATTTGATATTTAATATCAATTTTTTACTTAATTAAAAATTGACTTATGTAAAATAAATAAAATGTTTTTGAAAATTTTTTTTTAAAAGATATTATATAATCAAAATATGATTGATTATGATTAATTGCTTTTTAGCAAGGCATTTTAGCAACCCAGTTTTGCAACGCAGTATTTAGTCATACCCAAAATAGACTTCTCTAATGCTTTTACACTCTCCCGGAAATCCTTCCTCTAGTACTCTTTTTCCCAGTTACACCAAGTTCTTTCATTCTTGTTATCAACAGCCTTCCACCATACAATTTGATACCTTTAAAATTCATTCCATTGAGGGTATTCAACAGGGAGATCCGGTTCCAATGATGAAATCAATAAAGCTGTGAATATTATCAAGGAGGCTGGGTCTTCTATCGGACTCTCTATCAATCCTGAGAAATCTGTTATCCCAATCAATTTTATCGAACCTAATTCAATCAAATTCAAACTAACTACCCTTGATGGACTTTATCATTTAGGTTCCCCTGTTGGTGGTAACTCTGGTATATCTTCCTTCCTTCAGTCCACACTTGAAACACTTTTTGAGTTGGCTGATTTATTTTCCCTACTCCCCTCCGTTTATGAAAATGGGATTAAAGCCCTTATCGAAAATATTCTAAACCTTAAATTATATGAAATTGCATGGACACAAGCCTATTTACTCACCAAGATGGGAAGTCTTGATATCAGATCTCCATCCGATCTCTTAACAGCCTTCATATACAGTTGTCTTTTTACAAAAAATATATATATTCTCTTTCGTTAAAATATGACTCTTCTTATAATGATGCAATCATTAATCAAAGGCACGAATTATTGCTGATCACCCTCTTCCTGAATTGAATAAGCAGAAGGACTGGGATGCCTATTATTTCATTCTGCGTTGAATCACTCATTTCCAGAATGCAATTATCTGACCGTCCTTTATTCTTCTCACTGCTTAATGGTTCAGGTCATGAGTTCCTTGAAGCTATTCCTTCTGTTAATTTGCAATTACAACTGAATCAAAACGAGCTCACTCACGCGATTGGCATTAGGTTAAATTGTATAATTACCCAACCCCACACATGTTGAGGTTGCACATCTGTCGTTTTGGGTAATGGTAGACATAGTCCTTACTGTCCTTCGTGTAAAAGTCGTACTGTTAGACATAGTAAATGCAATTCAATTATCCTTAGAGCTTTGAGATCTGCTCAAATCCCCTCTATTCTTGAACCTTCCGGTCTTTCCAGATCTGATGGAAAGCGGCCTGACGGAATTTCTCAAATTCCTTGGAAGCGTGGTAAATTCTTGATCTGGGATTACTCGTGTATTGATCCACTTGCACCATCCAACCAGACCTTTAATATTATTGAGAAAAAGGAGTCACTTAAAATAGCGAAATATTCTGAAATTTATCAAGAATACATTTTCATTCCCATCATTTCCATTACCCTTACAACTTTTTGGATGCCTTTTCTTTTTTCAAGGAACTTGACTCTCACATTCGCCAACTTACGGGTGAACCTCGTGAAGGTTTCTTCTTAAGACAATGACTCGCTATAGCGATACACAAGGCAAAATACATTAGCTTCATAGCATCTTTATTGAATTTATAATTTATCTTTACAATATAAATATTATTTTTACCCTTTTGCGTCAAAAAATTTTAATTATCTTAAAAAATCACGAATATGACAATTGTCACACTAAAATATTGTCCATAAAAAGATCATATAAAATAACATAAAAAAGTTCAACATAAATATTTAAAAAAGAACTATTTAGAAAAAATTACCTCTTTTAATATACTCAAAATTTTACAAAAATGATATAAAAAACTATAAAAGATCACAAATAATTCATCAAAATAGATTTATTTACAAACAAGATTTAAAATTCGTATCAAATCAAAATATCTTCAAAATTCTTTTTGAACTTCATAAAATATATTTTACTTAAAATTTTGGGCGTGAATTGTAACAAAAAGAATATTACAATAGCAGTAAATCATTTTTTTTATTAAAAAAACATCAAATAAATAAATCCATTTTCATAATATAAAATAAATTATTTTGTTTAAAAAAAATTTTAGGCAAATAAAATTAAAAAAAATATATTTGAAAGAACTTGGCATGGCACTCGAATTCTAGATTTTTAAGATATTCTTTTAAAATATTTAATAATTAAATTTTGGCTCAAAAAGCCAACTCCTTAGCCAGCTTGAGCCAACTCTTGAGCCAACTCTTGAGCCGAATTGAATCAACTCCTGAGTCGGTTTGAGCCTAAGCCAATTTTTCGGGTCTGACCTAACTCGGCTTTTTAACAACACTAAATTTAAACATTATTTGATTGACATTGGATATTATATAAATTATATATATAATGTATACACAACTACAACAGTAAACACACACAAGAGATATTTAAAAATATTTAATACATCCAGTGGCGTAGACAAGGGGGGGGGGTTTGGGGTTAAACCCTTCCCCCCCCCCCCCAAAAAAAAAAAATTTTTTTTTTTAATTTACAAATTTTTTTTTTAAAATTATTTAAAAAAATTTTTTCTTCATGCGAATAATTATATTTAAAAAAACGGTTCTGGTCCGAATTTATTTAAATATAGAAATTCATTTTTCTAATTACTCAAAATAAAAGATATATGTTATATGGGGTTTAGTTTTTATAAATAAAATCAAAGATTTTTATTTTACATTGAAAATTTAACATAAAATTGATATATTTAGATATATTTAAAAATATTTACATGGCCAGACCCAACCCGGCCCGAATTTTCTTTAAAAATATTAGGCCCGAACAGCCCGAACCCGATTTTCCTACTTTTGCAGATCTCTAATAAGAATTTTTTATGTTTCATTAATATACTCATTTGTATTAATTATAATTCTTAAATTAGATTTTTTTAAAATACCGTACAAGAATTACTCATATTTTATTTTATTGTAATTTTAATTTTTTTTAAATATAGTTATTTAGATTAAATTTTTATTATAATTGGTATAAAATTTCTACATTTTGAAATTTATTATATTGTATATTATCATTAAAATAAATTCATAGTTAAATAAAGAGGTGTTATTTATACTAAAGTATTTTATAAGTAAAATCTATAATGAAATTTTTTGCAAAATTTTGTTATATGCAAAAATTTAATTAAAATAAATATTTTTAACATAGAATAAGATATATTGAGTGATCATAAAAAATGTGAGGTTTGAGGGGCGATTTTATTCTTCTTTCTATACCGAATGGATTGAATTAATTTATAATTGACTAAACATTGATAAAATTTTCAGAATAATGCCTTCAGTCGCGTATAAATCATAAATTTAGCCAAAATTTTGTTGGTAATATTTTTTTCATTTATGGTGGCTCTTCTATAGTGATTAGACACTAATAAAGCACAAAAGATTGTCAAATTTTTAAAATGCGGTTTAAGGGCGAAGCCTCCTTTTTAAAAATTTAACCCCCCCCCCCCCCATTTATCAATCTTGGCTACGCCACTGAATACATTTATATATTATCGAAACTCATTATATTTATTCTTCATCTAATTTGAATCTTTGGCAGATTTATTTGCTTTTCACCAATTAGCGCATCTATGTTCTTAAGCCGATTTCTTTTTGAATATACTGGAAAGAATTTTTAAGATATTTTATTCTCATTTAAAGCTGCCCAATAGACAGAATACATGATGCTTTCTTGAAAAATTATAAATTGGTTTATTTTTAGTCCTAGTTTTGGATTTTTAAAAAGTAAATTTTCGATTAAAAGTGGAATTTCTGAATCAACCGATATCTGCATATATTTGCCTACATGTAACCTTTAAACGAAATTTTTTTTGGGAAGGATTAGAACGTTTTGCCTACAATTTTTCTGAAGGGGTAAGGGGGTAGGGTAAAGTATATAAAAATTAAAAAAGCTGATAAAAAATTTATATTTAATATTTATTACCCATTTATGCACAAAAAAATGTTTGAAATTTGCGAATATATTTTATTCATATACTAAATATTGATTCTAATAAATTTATGATTTCTATTTTCTAATTATCAAATATTTTCAAAGGCGATTTTTTTTTCAAAATTAAAACTTTTATTTATTAATCCGAGCTTTCTCTGCTCATTTTGTACCAATTCAAATTATAAGCATTATTGAATATGAGCACTACCGAGATTGAAAGTTCTATAACATAACATAAAATAAAACAAAATATTTATTATATGATAGACAACAATGATGAAAATTCTCCAGTAGTAGACAAAGAGGAATCTCAGTATAAGCATTTATAAATTATTTAAACTTGTATATAATTAAGACCAGAACAGAATCATAGAAGTCGCAGTAGATCTCCACACAAAAGGAGCCGATCTGAAAGAAGCAGATCTAACTCTTCTAGTGAATCTCCGCTTAGGCGAAAGAGTATATAAATGATTTGATTAAAATTCTATTAAATTTATCAGGTCTAGAAGGTGATTATATAGAACTTATTGTTGAAGCTTCTGATGTATTGGACACAATGGGGTTTGGAGAGTTTATCACTACTAAAGTAGGCTATATTCCTAAAATAAATTACCTTATTATTTATTAAATTAAATTAATTATTTATGGAAATATTTTAATTTTTATTCATTTTAGTTTTGAATTTTTAGCATAAAATAATAATGCAAAAATAAAGAACTAATTTTTAAATATAATATTAATAAATTCTTTCAGTTTTTCAACCCTTTACAATATTAAGTGGGAAAAGACTCCATTAATTCTCTAATTGAAACTATTTTACTCTAAATTTTAAATTGCTATATAATCTCAGAAAATATTAAAGGGTGAGACTTATAATTTTGTTAAAATATTAAAGATGATAAATATGAAATTTTTAGATTTATTTAAAAAACTATTTTAGAAAAAACATTTATAACAAGAATGATATAAGCATATCATCATTAATAAATAATTAACAATTTAAGCAGTTATAGCACCTTCCCATTAGACTAGTTATAGATTTTATTATCTATATTGAGAATATTCCTTATGTTATACCTTAATTATATATTTATGAGGATTTTCATATATATTTGAATTGGTATTTCCAAAACTAATATTTTGATAAAATAAATAGTTTAAAACAATACAATGCTAATTTTTGTTTTTTCCACGCTTTATTTACCTGATATGTTCCACTATAACAATAATTGTCTTTCTTGGTTTCTTAAAAGGCTCAATTTGGGCCGATTTTTAAAAATGGCTAACTCAATATTTTATCCAGAAAAATATTATGCAAACCCAAAGATTTTGCTCATAGATGGCATATAGGATTGAACATCTATTGGCTAAATCTTGATGCTTAGGTAATGTTTTCCTGGCTATAATGTTAAGTTAGCTTTTTTTAAAAATTGGCTCAAATCCAGCCATTTAATAACGCTAGATTACTGTCAAATAAAGTTATTTTCACTAGCAAAGCAATAAATAAGTCTAAATTTATTGGAACTTTTTATTACATTTATTGTTATATTAATAAAATTTTTGAAAGTTTCAAAACTTAAATTTTAAAAGAAACAAGACATATTAAAATATTCAAAATGTTTGACTGGATGGATATTTATTTTATATTTTTTTTAATATTTGACTCTGAAAGTAGGAAGATGCATTTATTTTTAGAATGCAGGTATTACAATAAATGTATACTTATAATAATATTTATTCCAGAGATGAAGGTCTTTTCAAAGTACTAGATAACATACTCTCTTATCAGGGGTGTATTGTGAAGGGGGCTAAACTTTCTCTGTTATTTTTATGATTTTGAAATCCTCCAAATCAAGATTTTTTAGGCGATCCCAATGTGCAGTTTGATTATGAAATCCAATTGGAGTTCTTTAAAAAAGAATTATTATGAAATTATTGTAGATCGTTTTTTAGAAGATTTACACAAGATAATTATAATATTCTATCATGTTTTAATACATTGTCCCCCCTCCCCTTAAGTCTGATTATTTTATATCTAATAAAATGGCACCATTGGAATCATTATTTAAATGTGGAAACGTTTCATCATGAAAAGAAATAGTCAATAGTGTTAAATTTGAATCCCTTTACTCTTTTATCTTTTCCATATTTTTTTACCACCATGTAGAAAATAGAGAAACAAAAAGTTTTATTTTAATAGATTTTTTAATGTAGGTTCAATTTTAATAACATTTTATCATTTTTTTGAAAATTTAATTTCAATTTTTTAAGAAAAACTGTTTTTTCTTTTTCACATTTCTATTTTTTAACATGCTATTATTATAATTAATTTGAATATTATTGTTTATATATATATCAGAGACCTGCAGAGGTACCATTTGCACGGCCCGGCCCGGTTTTAAATTTTTTAGGCCCGGTACGGATATTTAAAAAAAAATTTTTTACGGCCCGGCCCGGATTTAAAAATTTCAGGCCCGGCTCGGAATTTTTTAATATTATATTCGACCTGGTATATACAAAAATTCACCTATGAGGTATTTTACCATATTTTTCAGCGAGTATTATTGCTTATTATTTAAAAAATGCATGTAAAAAGCTAATATTTTGAGAATATTATATTGAATTTATAAAAATTATAAAACTGTTATTTATAAAAATGGATATTTTGAGCATATACTATATTTTATATTGCATTTATAAAAATAAAACTAATATTCATAAAAATGGTAATAATATTTGTCATATACTATATTTTATATTACATTTAAAAAAAACAAACTAATATTTAATTTATAAAAATGGGAAATATTTTGAGAATATAATATATTGTATTTAATTTATAAAATAAAATAAATCGCTATTAAAAAAAATGCATGTATAATAAATAGTATTTTGAAAATATAATCTAATTGCACAATATTAATATAATTTATTTTATAATATAAATTTTTAACAAAAGAAGATAATTGTATTATATAATATTGTAAAAAAAAATAATGAAAAATGTTGGATTAAAAACTTTCATGACTCAAGGTAAATATAATAAATGCAATAAATATTTGACAGTTTGCAAAGTAAAAAACCAGCATGATTGACGAAACCCTATACTCAAGAAAGATATTAAAAATTCACAAATTATCACGAAGAAAGAAAAGCATATCTACCTTTTCAGGTTGAAGATTATTTCTTCAAGAATTCTCCCAGTAGTGGAAAAATTCTGCTCACAGCTTGCACTTAAAGTAGGAATTGCCAATTTTGCTAAAATTGGAAATTCGCTTTGATGAGCCGCCCACCACTCTAACAAATTATCCACCTTAAATGTTTTATCTATTATTTATGTAATTATAATATTCATCATCGGGTATTGACATATTACCAGAATTACCATCGCCCCATTTGTCATAAAACGATTCAGTTTGTTTAACAACAGTCGTAATTTGACTGGTCGATGGTATTTCATTTACTTCCTGAGCCTCTTGTAATTTAATATAATCTTTTATATAGTTTTCCGTCATTTTGCGATCTGTCCCTGACTACATACGTAATTGCTTGAATTTGGGACAGAGAAAAAGAGAAATAAAATGATACTAGTGTAAAACAAATTTTTCAATTAAAAAATGCTTTATATTAAGTAAAATCAATTACAAACTTTAAGAAGTGATAATCCTTTATTTGATTGTTTTGGTAAAATATATTCTAAAAATTTAGATATGAATTATAAATAATATATTAATAATACTTGAATATTGGGGCTTATTTAAGATATTCCTTTATTTGATTATTTTGGTAAAATATGTTGTAAAAATTTAGATATGAATTATAAAAAAATATATTAATACTTTGAATAAATTTGCAGGAAATTAATAATTAGATCGATCTGTGGATTGTTAGGTAGAGTTAACCATCACCCAATATTATATTAATCATAACTATAATATAATATAATCTTATAACCATTAACTCATAATGTAAAAATTTTTATAAAAAATATTAAGGCCCGGCCCGGGTTTATCAATCTTAAGCCCAGCCCGGATATATTAAAAAAAAATTTTTTAGGCCAGGCCCGACCCGGATATGTTTAAAAAAAATATTTTTTAGGCCCGGCCCGGGTATATTTAAAAAATTTAAAATCCGGGTTTAGGGCCGGGCCTGCAGGTCTCTGATATATATTATACATCCTGATTAAGTGTAAATGTCAGGAAGGTTATATCGATTTAACATTTTATATCTTTTAATTGTCATAATGATGACAATAATAAAATCGTGCAAATTCTATATATTTTCTAATAAATAATAAATAATATACTTAATAGACGATATTTCTCAGGCATAATTTCGAATATCTATAATAAATTACCTCAAGAATCAGATGGAGATTTATATAATTCTTAAACATACTATTATATAGACAAGGAATTTAGACGACTACAATACAAAGAGCCCTTCATGTTGATGAGGTAATTTATACTTATAGATAGTATTGTTAAAGGATCTAGATCAAAAGATCGACGATCATGGATTGATCACAAATTTGACAATTTTCCCGGATTTATGCTCTTGTCTTTTAGGATCGTGATCGAGATCATTTTGTTTAATATACGATCTCAATCCTTTTAAAAATTAATTTTTTACTTAAAAAGCAATAAATAAAATTTAAATTTTTTTAAATTAAATTTAAATATAATTTTTTTTAAAAATATCGATCTACATCATATATCATCCCCAGCCATATTTTATATTTCACAAATTTTATCGAGAACATTTACGAGATTTACCTACAAGTTTTATTTATAATTTAATTATATAAATAAATTCTAGGTTTTAATAATGTCCAATATAAATTAATAAGATAATACATCTACTTTTGATGTGACATAGTGATAATTTTTTACTTTTTCATAAGCTACGTAAGTATTTTAATTTATATGAAACTGATGAAGTAACTAAATCATTATAATTGCGACATGCTCTTTATGCAAGAAGAACATATTCTTCAAAGGTTAGTTAGTTCAAGCCTCAAAAGGCATTTAGAAGTAAAATTACTTCTTTTAATTTTTTATTTGCTAATCTTAATGTCAACATATTAATTAATACATACTTTATTTTTCTTTTATAAAGAGAAAGCATAATGAATTTTAAAATGACATTGCCAAACAACAAAGGGCCATCGATAAAAAATCGTAGGCTGGTTGTATATGTTCACATTAGATAACAAACAAAATTTTAGCGCATTAGCAACTATATTAGCGGAGATAATCGGGGTTAAAGGTCCAAAAAACGTCTTTTTTTGCTTTTTACTGATGTTTAATAATTAGTTTTTAATTTAAAACTAAATATGATCAAATATCAATAGCTAAGTTAATAATTGATAATTATGGCAAAAACATCAAAATTAATTTTTTTTAAAATATGGGTCATCTTATGGTCAGTTGAAAATTTGAAATTAATATTTCGAAATGAATATGATCTGATCTCCAAATTTTAATTTTCTTACGAAATATTATCCGTTTACTATTTTTTTAATAATTTCTTTAGCAATTAGCATGGCTGGATATTTATTTTAAAAAATATTACCATTTTTATACT